TGACCCTATATGGCAAACACCTACTAATACCTCCTATGATAAAGTATTACTGTTATTATAATTCCTCTGAAGACTTCTCAGAAAACACATCAAATCACTTTAAAAAATAAACATGTAATTTGTTAGATGGGTTACAAATGGAATGATGGTAAGATGCAACATCTAGCTCTAGAAAACCAACCCACCCACACTCCCATCATGTGATGTGATTTTTGCCTTCCCTTTCTTCCCACAACTCATACCTTGGTTGGTGCTTGTTGGATAGACCTGCTGGATAGCTTCTGACCTAAAAAACAACACAGTGTGTTTTATAAGTGCCTTTTTCATCCACTAATGGGTTGTACTGATAGTATCATCATGGATGGAACAGGTTCACATGTTTACTCATAACAAAGCTTGTTTGGCAGGGAAGGGTGGACCAGGAAGGATCTTCTCAGTGTTCGACGAAGAGTAGTGCCTTTCCAAAGTCTCATCCTCAGCTACATTGCGCTTTCTATCCCAGATTCCTTCTACCTAACCTAAGAACACATCTGTTTGAACAGGTGTAAGGGAGCATATTCTAAGTTTGCCAACAGCAAACTCAAGTGAACAGTCAGCTACTATCTACACCAAAATGGATGATAAATCACAAAGCAAGGATAAAAAATAATTAAAGGAATGCATGAACTTAGAATCCAAGGGAGACAATGAAAAACTGACAGAAGCAAACCTCATCAGTTGTGCAGTGAAGTCATTAATTACTTTCAACAACATAATGGTGAAACAGGGCAGAGGATTGGATGGGAGCCCTAATAAATGTGAGGCGAGGTTTGGTTGGAGTGTAGTTGAGGTAGACAGGGCAGCAGTCAGAGGGATGAGGGGAACATCAAGCTAATTCAGTTGGGAAGAAAAGGCATTTTCCTTCGTAATGTGCAAAGAAGAGGAGGCATCTCCTGGGTTTAAACCCTAAGAGGAGTTTCTTCATCAGACTAGGAGAAGATATTTAATTGCCTTTGGTACTCACCAAAATTTAAGCAGCTCTGTTGGTTCTGAGGACAAGACAGGCTTTTTCTTTCATACGTGTATATCTCCCCCATGAACTCAGCCCTCCCTCACCCTACTGCCCCAGAAACTGAAGCTGCATTGAACCTTTGTGATGGGCTTGCAAACCCTTTCCAGGGCCAGGAGCTCTCTCCAGCTCAGCCCTCTCCGCAGGGACCTCTCCTTTCACACCTGCCAGACCTTCTTCCTTCTATGAAGTCTCCCTGGATTTGTTCTGTTTGTTCTCATTACTACACTACATTACAGTGACCACTGGCCTTGTAACTCTTGTATTTCTCCCCATTAATACCCATAATCACAACAGAGACCACTTTTTTTTTTTTTAAAGAGAAAGTAGTTTACATTTGAATAGAAGTACTATACATTAAATTACTATTTAAATATATATATATATATACATACATATACACACATTTGTGGCTCTAAATTTTGTATAAGCTTCAACAGTCTTCATACCACACAAGCAAATTTGGGGTTTGAACAGTGCAAAAAGAAACAAACCTGTGCACTCGTTAACACTATTGGTTTCCATCCAAGAGGATGCCATTCTGGGTAAGAGCTATAGATATGTGCCTTTTTGTGTCTTTTCTATGCTTTTGCAAAAGACTTTTTTGCATGCATATACATAAGCACAGCCCTTCTTGTAAAGCCAACCAACCACCATTACAGCAACCAAGAATGAGAGTAAATTGGAAAAGAATTTGCTCATTTACAGCGCCATGGAAGCTCGGGATTTCTATGTTTGCAAAACGAACACTTGAACATAACAATCACAAGAAAACAAAGTAAACATCAGAAAAACATTCGCAAATCCAACTTAACGCCACAACCAACTACTGTGCACCAAGCTACACAGCTTTCTCAGAAAAAACAAACAAAAAACAACTGTGAGTATTCTATTCAAACAAATTGAAGTGCATTGAAAGTGCTATTGTTTACCTGTAATTTTTTTCCTGTACGTGTGAGATTTTTTTCTGTAGATTTTAAGTGGACATTAGTGAACTAAGTTGTTTATCTGAATACTGATGCTTGAACGTGTGATCGGCCCATGTTCTCCATTAGCAATACACACAAAGCAAGAATAAACATACTTTTCAAACAGGAAACAAACTTAAAAGACAACTCAGTAAGAAACTGGAATACACATTTGGAAGATGAAGTGGAAATCTGTGAAAGTGAAGGAAACTATTGGCTGAAGCATTTCAAAACAAAATTTTCCAATGAACAGAATTGCCACTTTCATCCCCAGCTTTTTCACAGTCTACATCATCTTCAAATTTCTCCCAACCTTTTCTTCTGTTGTTTTCAAGGTATCACGTAAATCAGGCTCAATTATAGAAATAATTTCATGGCCTGTAACTCAAAACATGTTACAAGATTTCCACAAGCTATGAACACCAAACAAAAAATAGAAGTACCTTCAGAAACACTGTTCAGCACAGGATTAGCTTGTAGTTACTGTTGGGAAGAACTATGCCAATTAAAAAATAAATCTGTTGATGAGAGAACTGAAGCAAGAACCACTGGAAATAAAACTTATTTCCTCAAGTTTTTACACCAGCCATAAGCCCATTGATTCCTTTGAAAACAAACAAACCAACCAAAACTGAAATAACCTATTGCTGGTTAGCTGTAACTTATTTTGAGAATAAGCACTTTCAAAAATGAGAAAGGATTCTTAAAGAGGAAAATAAATATTACAAGGGGAAAAAATTCTTAAAGTGGAAAAAGACAATATACTTTGGAATGTATTAATTTAAGAAAAACAGATGGTGGTGGAATCACTGAGTAGTATGGAATAAGGTACCCATCCTGGTATATAACAACTAAATTTGAAAAGATGACTACTGCCTCCAGAACACTGAGTGCAGCAGAGAACATCCATTCCAGACATACTTTCACAATTAACAGGAAAAAAAACAAAACAAACCACCACCACCAAAAGGGTGAATCTCACAGGATTTACCTACCCAGAAATGAGTAAGGCATACAACAAAACAAGTCCATGTAGAAACAAGTATCAGAGACTCCAAACATCTGAAGATTCTCTATGCACTTGCATGATGAAACACTGGCTCTTAGTATTTTGGAAAGTTCAGATTTAAGCTAATCCATAAACATTAACCTTAAAATGAACAGTATTAACAGCAATAGTTAGTTAACCTCACAGAAGTCAATATATGTTTATGTTAAGACTACAACATAACTATCTAACAGATGCTGCTTACAGAGATATTAGGAATCCAATTTCAACCTGCGATTTCTGAAAGTTTTAGCTTTAAACACAGAAAGTTAAAAATCAGTTTTAAATGGCCACTATTCAAATGAGGTTTGTGAATGCCTTGAATGCATATTAATAAATGTAGTGATTTGGAAACATTAATCTTTATGTTCATATAAATACACACAATATTCCTAACATTTTCTCTCAGCGTGTCAACTTCTTTTTTTATTGCTTTTTAGAGTGGAAAAGAGAAAGTCTCCCACCTGCATTCTTGTACAGCATGCAGAAAAATATCTAATTCTATGATCAGTTTCTCAAGCAATTCAAAAGGAACTGCTGGTAATGCTGTACACAAAATATTTTAGATGCTACTCTAAAAATTCAACATCTGAAAAATCAATGACACTGTTTAACTTGATACCTACATTGGCATCAGTTTCATTTCACTTACTGCTTTAAATAGATTCCTTTTTGTTTTAGTTGTTGTTAAAGAAACTTATCTATCATAGATTATGCAATTCAAATTCTATCACTTATTACGACTTCAGCTTAAGCATTGCCAAAAAGTACTACTCAACCATATTTAGTTTTCTGAAACTTCTTGATAACTCTTTTAAGTACTTCAGATCAGTTCAGTCCTAGAAGCTGCTATTACCAAAAAAAACCCAAGTTTGTTTCCTGAATGTTATGGTGACAGAACATATTGCTTAGATTTATATTACTTGCTTTGTTCTCTTGGGCCTCTCTGTTAGTAATGTATATGCAAGCCCCACAACCATGAACAGCAGCAAGTTAAGATATCAACTCATAAATATAATTTAAGTGCATAAAGCAAAAGGTAGAGAAGCTGAAACTGCAGCATCAATTTTTTTCTTTAAAAAAAATACAAAACAACAAAAAAACCAAGACTACTTTTAGATGTAACAACCAACTATTGCTACAGTACCACTGCAAAGGCTGCAAGTGGCAACACAGATGTGGCACTTAGGTACATGGTTTAGTGGTGATCAACTGATGACTGGACTTGATGATCTTAGAGGACTCTTCCAACCTTAATGATTCTATGATTATAAAGCTAGAACAAGTTTAAAGATATCATAAGCTGAAAACATTCATTGTCAAATTCACAGATGTTTCTTCATCATACAACTAAGTTCACCTGGCATCCTCACCTTTCTTCTCTCCTTGATCCTCACACCACTAACATGATCAGGTCAAAGCTGCATTTTCTTAAGCATCCATGTCCTTCGTCATGTAGAAATGTGGTCTATTAGACCTTTGTTTTGTCACAAAACTATTGTGTTCATGAGCTTTGTTGTTGGATTCCAGAGTCTGGGAGCTGGCAGATTCTGTGGACTGCGTAGCGCTGTAACAGTTCATGGTCTCAAGGAGAAAAGCAAATCAAGCATTTTAATCCACATTCTAAAACTAACTGTGGAAGACCTGCAGAAATGCTGACCAAAATGGACCATTTGGATAGCATTCAAATTACTCAAAACATAAAATAGAAGAGAGAGGTGTTGTTTCACCCGGTAAGTGAATAGATTTGGAATTGGCAGTGAGTCACATCAGTTGTAAATCAAAATAGTTGTCTGTCAGAACTATTGTAAAATATGCCCAGTCTGAATGTCACAGTACCATTTAAAAAAAAAAAAAGGCATTATTTTAAGAGTACCTGCCTTTCTTCCCAAGGCATTTAGAGTCCTCTGATTTGAAAAATCCTTAGAGTCTTCACAGATTTAAACAGAGGAAGATCTCTGGCAGTCTCTGGTTTTATCTGGCTCCACAGACAGTGCTTTTTCTCTTGGCTCTTGTTTAACTTGGCTCATACAGATACCAGCCTCTGTAGTATCTTCATCTTAAAACAGAATGAAACAAAATATTAAAGTCCAAATACCAATGATAACACTTCAGCTCCAATGACTGTATGCATTTTAAAAGAAAAAGACATTGTTGCTTACCAAATAAACAATAAAATATGTTGATTTAAAGAATGACCTAAACGTCAGGCATGACTGGCCACTGTTCAGTGACTGCACGTATGTTCTCATCAGGAAATAGCTTATTCTTAAGTTACCACTTTAGATAAGAGAAAGGCTAGAAAATACAAAATAACTTCAACTAAGTGCATGTATACACACAGAGGGAAAAAGCATTTTGAAATAATCACTGACTGAACTGGTGAGCATTTCATCCAAATCATCTGTAACATTACTTTCTCCTCAATACAGATTTGTTTTTGTCCTCCTGATCTTCAGACAAAGAAATCTGACACTGGAATAGCAAAGAGGAGGATTGGTGCATTTTATGAGCAAATCTTCCACCTAACTTAGGAAAGGCACAAATATCCTCACAATTTCCAAATCCAGATGATGATGATAGTTTAAGATCTTGAGCAGAAGTAAAAGGAAATCCCAGATGAACAGCAAGTGCAGTTCCTGCTGTTGTATGATTTAAATTTTGTATTTGGCTAAATTTTTGTATGTAAACTAGTATTTTAAAACGTATATTAAATATTAACTATTATTTGAAAGGCATCTACATCTTGATTGCACAAATGGGCTAAACAACAGAGTGAAGGAGGTATATTTGACAGCCTCTCTTAAATAACCTTTACCCAGAAGTAAAAGTTTCTCAGCAGAACAGTGAAACCCTATTATAACAAGGAAGAAGACAAGCTACAAAAAACTTTGAATACAGCCAAGAGAAGAACTCTTACATTTAACTTTGAGAATACTGCCACAGTGAAATATCCTAGCAGTGATTTAAAAGACCTGAAAAAACATTTATTTCCTAACCAAAGACTCCTAACCAAATTCAGTATTTGTTACTTTACATGCTTACTGCTCCTAACAAAATTGTATATTTGAAAATGAGCGTTTTAGCTAAATGTTGGGATTCGGAGTAAAACAGCACTTAACAGGCTGGTATTTTGTCAGTGAAAGTGATGGCAAGTAGTTCAACTAAGTCTCTATTTTAATAGCAAAAATTACATAAATATATTTTACAGCTGTTGTGGTTTTACAGTAAATATTAATTAGAATCAGCTGAAACAAACCAATACTGGAGCTCCCCTTAATCAGCACATTTATCTACTTTGTTTTAGGACACACAGAATAAAATCCAGTGTACTGTCTATATTTACATGTATTGGGAAGAGTACAACTTACTAAGTGCAGGCTGGCTTTCCACAATCTGTACTGGAATAGTCTGTACATCTCCCAAGAGAACTTCCTGGATTCCTCCTTCTAGGTTTCTGGAGTCCCCTTCCCTGTCAAGTGCTACCAGATGGCCCATGGTGACAAGATTCTGATCAGTGGCAGAAGTCCCAAAACCAGAGGCAGCAGCACTGTGCTGTGCTAGGCCAGCACCTTTTTGCAGACTGTGCCCCTGGCCAAGTACTGGAGGATGGTTGGTTACTGCACTCTCTATGGAATCCAAGAGACTTGCAGAATTGGAATGGGAATGGTTATTTACAGCTATCAGGGCTGTTGATCCATTTGTGGAGGTAAAGTTTGATTGCATCTGTAATCCCTATGAAAGAGAAAGCAGAAGTACAAATATAATAGCATTTAAAGCAGAAGAGATTTATATTTAATAACACATTTTGCAGTGCTGGAACTGGATAGGTTCTGACCTTCTATACATCATCTCTTTTGAAGAGTCAACTTCAGCATCTGTAGATTATACTTGTTTCAGGAAACATAGCAGACAGTGGTGTCCAGCAGCATCTAGAAAACTACTAAGGACCATAAAAATCTAATTTTGGACAGATATTCAGTTTCAAATCCTTCCTCAATACATGTTTATTCCCATGACGGATGTGCACTAAAAGGTAAGTATATTGGTTTAAAGGATAGTGGGGTGAAGCCAAGGTGGCTACTTTCAGAAGGAGAAGCAAACAGCAAGCAGAACAACATTTCACTGCAGGTCGTATTTCTATGGAAGAGATTATGACCTTCAGGAGATACAACGGTAGCTTAGGAAAGACAGTTAAGAGTGACAGGTTTGAAGCAAGATGAACTTCAGAAGAAACTCTTTTAGCGTGGTAATCTTAGCCTTGCACTTCACCTTTTCAATCTGGAAGTCTTACATTTCTGATCTGGGAGCAGTTTTAGGATTTTAACAGATTTTCCCTTATAAGGCTGGAGAAAGATTTAAAAGGAATATGACTGACATATTCTTCCTCAACTTTGCAGCATTGTCATCATGAAATGATTGGAAAGTCATTAACTACTAAGGTGATTGATTTGGGGCAGAAAATCACTTCCCACACCTTCTTGGTTTTGCCTTCACAAAGAGACTACAATGCAGAGGGATCTCCTGCACTACAGCTAGATGCCAGTTGTGCAATATAAGAAAGGCCAAAGTAGGACTTGAGAGCTATTTCTAAGTCCATATTCCCTCACAGCCAGTGTTTGAGATCACTAGTTGAGAGGAAACTTGATATTTATAGTTTCCTTCAGTTCTACTTGATATTTATAGTTTCCTTCAGTTCTTCCAGCATAGAACACCTGACATTCTCTAAAAAACTTGACCATACCTGAAATTGTGCAAATATCTTGGGCTGAAGTGAAGAAAGAGAAGATAACAGCTGAGCTTTTTCTGATAGCAAGGTCTCCGCACTCTGGTTGGATTCTGCTTTGGTGATGACTGACTCCCCTGGTGAGCTTCCTGCAGTACCACAGACAATAAGTAGACTGTTAGAACTGTTTCCTCCTCGTTTAAAACCTCCCCTGTGAATGGAACAAGCCAAGCCCTTTAAATCTCAATATAGATGTAGTTAAGACATGTATATACATACACGCTCTTCTCTTTTGCAGAAGAGCTTGGATGCTACAAGAAAAAAACATCATAGGAAGATAGCACACCTATTGCAAATGAAAAAGAAGTGATTCTGAACAGCAACATAATTGCTCCCTACTCTGTGTGTTGTATTCCTAATTCTAAAATAAAAGTTGAAACATTTCTATCAAAACAGCAATCTAATAATGTGACCACCCAGGCACCTTCAGTAACGGCTCAATAACAGGCAGGCATTAAAAGGTTGGCTTCCAAAATAGAAACACACACAGAAAATCCAGCAAGTCTCCTCATTCATTCCAAAGCATATTTGTAGAATTAGGAAAACTATGCACTATGCACACATCAGGTGTAATTTTAAAGAAAGTCCATTTATCTGATGCCTAGAGATTCCATTGTATTCTTCAAATTCTTACTTAGAGCAAAAATAATTGTCTTTATTTCCTTAAGACTTGGGGAAATCAAGATTTGCAGCAATTTCTGCAAAAACAATTTCAGTAGGATTATTCCATTCCTGTTTGAGATACCCAGGACTTTTTAGCTAAGTTGTATACAGGCACAATTATATTACTGCTCAAATTTCTGTTTTGCAGTTTTACTGCTGTAACTATGAAAGAAGAGATTGCCATGTGCATGTGGATTAATCTATGGAATGGGAAAAAAATGAGAATCAACAATTTCAAAAAGCTCTCTAGAAAAAAATAAAAAAAAAATCACACAAAGCTTCCATTCATCTAAGCAACTTGAAATATGTTTCTCATTATACATAATGAATTGTAAGCTCACTTTCTTTATCCTAACTGACAATAACATACAGTCTAAGTCTTCTTGAATACAACCACTCCAAAGACTTAGTGTTTTTTAATATTATACAGAGATCCCATATGAATATGTGAATATTCATGTGTAGGAAGTTCTTTTCTGAGACTGTACTCTACACGGATAAGCCTAGGTACAAATCCAATAGATCAAATCCAGTTCTACTCAGTCCTTACACTACATGGATATTCAGTCTGAATGCCAGAAGTTAAACACGTCCGTGGTATTCTATTCCACTTGTCAGCATACTTCATGAGAGATGTAAAAGGAAACAGACTTAGGAATTCTGACAGTGATTTTTACACCTAGTAGTAAAGAGACAAAAAGCAGTATTCTATGATGAAGATATTCCTCATATGCCTAAAACTCTAGACAGAGGTATGGACTTCTGCACAGACAATGAAACAAACATCTGGGGTTTAATTCTGTTATTGCTTGGTTTCTTTGGTGCTGTACATGAACAAATTTACGCAAGTTGAAATAAAAAACAGTACATACACAAACAGTAGTTTGAGAAGCCAGTGCTGTTTTCCCTTGCTACATTTTAATATTCTTGAGCAAGTACTGATTTCTTCAAAGTGGGCTTCTTTTTTCGTGTAGACTTTTATTATAATTGTGTTTACAGTGTGTATGGACTCATCCTCACATAAATTTAATTGGAAACAAAATACTCTGGAATTAGATTATCTGCTTATATTCAATGAACTGGTGCACACGTGCAGAAAACTAAACACATCCAACACTGTAACCTCCTCTGAAGTCAGCACCTGTCTGAATGGATGTTTACATAGTTTTTCAAGGCAAGTTAGTCTATCAGATATCTGTGAAAGATGAACTTTCATCAGCATTCAGATAGTTTGTATCAAAAAATTAGCCCTGCTCAGCTCTGTCACAGCTGTTGGAACCACCATTTTGTCTCTCCATAAAAGCACAGTAATGCAAATATTAACACAGGTGTGCAAGCTTAAACACAGTAACAACAGGACAGAAACTGAATTTCTGGAGATAAGTTACTAATACAGTCCTACCATTGGAAGGTGGTGAGGCAAACGTAACAGTCACTGTTTCTGTGAGAACATTCCCACCATCTGTGGTCCACTGTAGCTGAAAATAAGACCACAGTTGTCAGTAAGAGTTAAAGTTTTTCTATTGCAGAAACACAGGCTCAATTCAGAACATGCAAGAAAATAGTGTATGAAACTATGCCTTTTTTTTTTTTTTTTTTTAAGTAACTGCATTTTCAAAGTTCTTGGTTTAAAATAAAATTAAAGATACTGCAAACTATTTTTAAACATGCACTATACCAAGAAGGCTATAGTAATCTTACAAAAACTTGAAGACTCTGAACTAAACAACAACAACAAAAAAAACCAGCCAAACCACAATTTGGCCAACAAACATCGCCCACTCACCTTAGCCCAGCGTAGTTTAGGGAGAGTGGAAAAACCCCAAAGACACAGCATTACTTAACACTATAATTTAGCAAAGCTGATTTTAAACCTAATGACTGGAAAAACTAGGATCACTGTACATTTCTTAGCACTTAATAGGTGGAAGAAATTTAAGGAACAACATGTAAGAGTTACTCAACACTCTGAAGTATCTATTCAGACTTACTTAACTTGCTAGAAGGTTCACTCACAGAATTGTACAAGTGCTAATTTAGGCTGCACCTGAGGCAGATTTCATTCAGACTTTTCAGACTTGAAAAAGTAGAAGTAACTTTTACAGCAACCAGATAAAACCATTAGCAGCTTTCTGATGCATGCCTTCATCAGAAGTTCATGCAGTCATCATGTGAGTGCTGCATGTGTCACTTAACTAATAGCCATTTAATGCTGATGAGATAAATACTGAATATGGCCAAAAGGTTTTATTCACTTTTAATTCAGTTTTGATCAGCAAGAGATTCCACTGAAAATACTGGTGCTGAAAACAGGATGTCAGAGAATTCTGAAATGCAACTAAAAGTTAAAAGACTTGCAGTATTAAACTCCAAAAATTGAAAAGAAACACCAGGGCCAACATACCGTTGCTGGAATGCTTTCTGAGTTATATACCACATCACCATTTCTCAGGGACTTCTGCACTTCATGAATGTGGTTCTTGATGTCGTTCACAGTGGGAAAGAAGGATAGGTTATGTCTCTCTGGCACCTCATCAGGTTTGAATAATTCTCTTTCCACATACTTTCTGTCATGTTAAAGAACAAAAATATTAAAATAAAAATATGCATATTTTAGATCCATTGTGCTATTTACTTGTTACAATTGCTGCTACCATCTCCCTCTCCAGCTTGCAATGACAATATAAGAGCAAGATAAAAGATATTTGGATCCAGTTTTCTATGCATCTGCTCTGGTGTTGGAATTAAAAAATATCCATCTGCTCAACAAACTTTAAAGATGACAGCAGCTCTTAACAGCAGTCTACAATAAAATGGAAAGAGAAGACAAAATCCCTAAAAAAGAAAGAGATTCTAATAACATGTTGGAAATACATTCAGTTATGCATCAGTAACGCCGTTTACTTACAAATCAAATTAATCGAATTCAAAACCACACACAGCACAGACTAAGAACACTGACAGACAGCTCCGTACCTCAGTTGCTTCCTCACTGCATAGACTTGCTCTATCCCTTGAGACACCAGTTCTCGGATCTTGTCTGCCACTTGAGGATGAAGGCGGGAAGGCAGAGTACAGTTCTCATCTCTAACAACGTCCTCCTCCTCCTCAGGAAAAGCAGCAGAAAAATGGGAGGGTGAAGAAGGGAGGCAGGAAGTTTCCATTTCGTGATATTGGTGGGCTTGCTGAGTGGGTAACTGCACATACCACCTGGCAAGGAGGAAAGTTTCTATAATTTTCAAGCAAAGGCAGCAAAATAAATCTTTTGAGGAAAAAGCCTGACAATTACAAATGAAACAGTTAGAGTGACCTCCTGAGCTGAAAGATTCAGTTCTTCTGAGCTTAGGGTCCTCTCACACCCTATGATTCAAGATAACCCATTTACTAAAAAAAATAATCCAGAGCCATGAGTCTTATTAACAAACAATCCCACAATGTCAATAAGACTAAATAAAGCAATCAAGGACATAAAGAAAATCAAGCAAAATATTGCTGTTTTTGAATCATTTCTCAATATAAAGAAAAAAAAGTGCAAAATTCACCTGACGATACCACCAGCCTCTATCAAGTTCTTTTTCAGCATGTTGAATGCTTTTTCCTGCTCCATTCTTATGATTTTCTTGTCAATTTTAGGGTCAGTAGGAACTCTGTACTCCGGAAACTTCTGAACTTTTTTAATATAGATCCTTCCATGGGGAGAATAAGAGGAAACAGAAGAAAGAAGTCTCCTTCAATACGAAGGCAAAATTCCCACTTGCTTCATATCACATACTATCATGGCAAAAAATAAAAATAAAAATCAAGCAGCGTTTCAAGGGGTGAGGACCTTCTAAGAGAACTGAAGATCTTTTAACAGCGAAAGAGATGCAGGTGAGTACTTATACACATATGCCTGATCCAGTATGGAAGTCACTTAGCCAGAGTTATGCACCTCAGCAAAAATTTTCTTTCCCTCAGTAGAGTAAAAGCACAACACCATTTCTGGACATGTTGGAGTTGCCTCCATGCCCAAAACGTGAGCTGAACATATATCTAACTGCACCCATCCAGATAAGCACACCCTAACATCTATAAGGAGGGAATAAGTGTGGCACTGAAACCCAAAAGAGTGTTCAAGGATACAAAAAGAATAGAAAACACTGGAGTTGAATAAAAAGGAAGTCCCCATTGAACAGGAAGAACTGTAACTTCTTCTATAAATAGAAGATCTGCTAAATTCAGATGATTTACTGATACAATTGCAGTTAAAAGCTTGAAGGAAAAACAAGACAACATTGTCTTAGGATCAAATATGGTCACTAAAGGACACCACCATATGATGTCCTCATTATTTTCCAGTGATTCCACTTGTAGTTCATGTACTGATGTTTTGGTACTTTGCACATCAGCAACCTGTCAAGTCTCAGCCCCACACAGTATTTCCTCCTTCCCTCAAACTATCAAGGGCACCAAGCTAGAAACCACACTGCATGATATCAGCTACTACCTCCAAACTGCATGCTGTCAAGGCTCACAAGAAGCATGTTTTCTTAGAATGGCAAGTAACTTTATAGCCAGTCCTTACCTTGCTGGACAAGTGGCTTTGTACAGATAGCCAGAAGTGCTTTCCTGCTCACCAGCTTTTTTAGACTGGAACCCTTTTCTCCTTGGCCCATACTGGCACTCCATTACAATGGCTCTGCTTCCTGGAAACAGAAAATAATTCACTCTATTCAAGCAACCACAGAAGTCATTATAGTAAAACATTAAATACAGAAAAGACAAAAACTCTGAAGAAGTTATTTCTGTTTAACATCAGACTGTTTAGACAACAGAACGCTAAAATGTAGCAAGTGTTCAAATACACTGCAAATGCTTCTTTCACAGCACACGAGGAATGTGGAGCATTTTGAAAGCATTTCCTAAAGAGGTTACACTTCACAATGCTCTCGAAAACACATAGGGGCAAAAGATGAGGTTCTGACTTGATCAAGTATTTTACAATATGAGAACCCTTACTAGTTACCAAAGGAGAACAGCGTTCATAATAAACACAAATAAGAGACAGAATCTCCAAAGTAACCAAGAAAAACCTCACAGCTAAAAGCAAAGGTCTTTAATCAGTACATCGGACCATGCAGCCCTAAAAATTCTTACTTGCAAATCTGACCTACCTTATCAGTTAAATAACACTGCCTCAGTGTGGCATACTCTCATGAATACAGACAGGCTTAAACAAAGATTGCTTCACTCTAACCTCATTCCAATACACGGCTGATTCCATTCATGCTACTTACAGAAGCGTTAATAAGCATAACAAGGTGTTCATGGTCAAGTATAGAACTTGCACCTCTCCCATATCACATTATCTATTACATATAATTTATATATTCCAGTACACAGGCAGGGAGCTGCCTATACAGCAAATGATATAACCAAAACCTTTTTAAGGTATCACTACAGCAACATGAGGTGTTTCCACTGGACACTCAATGATTTACTGCCTGAGAGTGTAATCTTAATTAAAAACATATACACATCAGTGCATATAAAGAGAAGGGAAATTTAAAAGAGGCAACTGCGTATAATAAACAGATATCCTACCTTTAAAAAAAAAAAAACCAAAACAACAACAATTTCCTAAGATTGAAAAGATTTCAAGACCTTTATACTAGTTCTTACTAATGTTCATCTCAAAATCTACTGATTTTTTTTTATTTTTTATTTTTTACAAAGGTATCAGCTATCTACAATTCCTAAGATGACTATGAATCAAGATTTTGATGATTAGTTCATGTTTTACAATATATAGGGAACAATCCAGCCTTTCCCCTTCTACTTCATTTCCCCACAACATAAGCAGAATCACAGTGGGGAAGGCATTACAAACCAATTCCACTTAGGCAGAAATGAGTAAATACCTTGAGAGCAAGACTTTTCTCTTGCGCTATTGAGAATTTAGTTATCTGGGATTTAACAGCAGTTCAGTAAACCATATTTCCAGCCTCTGCTCTATAGAACTAAAAGGTTTTTAATGAACATTCTTCGTAGACGGTTTAAATTCTATACGTAAATGCATTGGAAAGACAACACATTATGTATAACACACTACATATACATAGTGCTTGTACAGGAGTCTAAATAAAGTTAAAAATGTTACAACTTAAACATCAGTCTCTACTAGTCTGCAGCACGTAAAGGAAGAAATAGCCTACGTGCTTTTGTTCTAAATATCTCACCACGGGGTGAGATATTTATGCATTTATTAATCAGATCTTACAGAAAATTAAATATATCTCAAATGCATTTAGAGAGGGTGCTGATAAAAGTACAGATTGTTTTGGTTTTGTTTTCAGCTTTCTTATACCTGACAATTTTTGGCTGAAGCTATCAAGTTGGGGGGAATGTTTCACTTCCTCATTTACTTTTGGGAAAAAAAAGCATATAACCTACGCTCCACACATTCACATGTGACAATTAAAGCATATTAAATTTAATTTGAATGAACTTAATTTCACATATGCATTGCGTGAGTTAAGTATGTATTTACCAATCTGTAAAGCCTACACATTCATTAAAAAAAACTGTCTGCTGACGAATGTTGATGCTCTTTTTTAACTTATTTTTTATTTCTGTTTTAAAGAGGGGTGTTTAAATACCATGTTGGATGCCATGGAACAGACTCTTCCAAGGATCTCCAAGTTAGGCAAGAATACTGGAACAAGCTCTCACCCTCATGAGAAACTCCAAGTCTCGGCAGAGCAGATGGAACTTCCATCTAAAGAGCTCATTCACAAGAACCGCCATCAAATGGTACTGAAGTAATTTATTTCTAAACAACAAGGAGAAAGAAACACTCACAACAAAACTTGTGTTTCAGAAAAACAAGCTCCTTCACACTGTGGCATACAGGTACCCAAGCTGCTTTTTTGTTGGTTGGTTTCTGTTTTGTTCATGCCTTGAGCTTACTGACACTAAGGAACAACACAAGGATCCTTCTTCATGGCCAGCTGGCAACGGACGTTGAGATTTTTTCAAAGTAGTTATTAAAACAAAAGAAGTTAGTTACCTGCATTGACAAAGGGGATCCCATCATATGGGACATACTGAGATTTCCACATCAACCGTGTGGCGGGTTTGGCCGGGCTTGGAGACTGGCGCGTCCCCCACACACTTTGTGTTTGCTGCTTGTGTAGCGTTAGAACACTCTCTAATTCTGTCTCGCTCACACAATAGCCGCGGTATGAGTCCCCAATTTTCTGCATGGAAAGGAGGTGAAATAATAGGGTTATTCACCCAGCTGACTGCTCTGCATTACCCAAGAAAGCAAAAGCAGTCAGGGACTCCGCACATGAGGACACAGGCTCAGGTTTTTGGTGTTTTGTACATTTTCCCCCACACTAGTACCCTCACAAGCACAGTTACCATAGTACCTAGCACCTCGTACCAGAGCAGTCTCCACTGGCATCAGACCCTAAGCACACAAAAACCCCAGGAAAGATTAGAGTTACTGACAACACTGATTTACAGAGGACAACTTCTATCTGCAGTCCCCTCCCCAACAAATTCAACTTAGGTGAATATTTTCACATGATGCCACAGAGGATCTCTGAAGTGCTAAAAACTGTAATGTAAATGTATCTGCTAAAAAGTATCTGCTTCAGTGGACACACAGAGCTCTGAGTTGGAGCAGAATACACCTCCATTGCAGCTTGTAACACCAGCAACTGCCTCACCCACTCACTCAATTCTCTGAATTGAACATCTCATATAATCCCTTCCAAAGCTTCAAGGCACTCTCAATTCTCAAAGTCATATACAAACACAAGACGTGCCACTGGATAACAGCTATGGTTCCAGTGACCTCTTCTAAGCAGTGGGCAACTCCAGAAAAATTGCATCTAGATTTAACTCCATGGAAGGCCAAAAAAAACCAGTGACAAACGATGCATTGACTTTGCAGCACCTCCTTTAACAGCTGTTCAGCCACTCAGAGCCATCCATCTCATTTGGTTCAGTGCTGGCACACCAGGGCCACCCAGCAAGCACTGACAGCACCGGGGTAGCAGCAAGCTTTCCATCTGAACCCAGAACATAATTCTCACTTTGATTCACCTGCAGCACAGGATCAGGACACCAAGCAGCTGACAATAACCCAGAGCAGTCTGCCAGCTTACAGCATAACTGTGGGGCAAACCGATGGTGAATGAATACTAGCACCTGATGGATCCCTTTTGCCACTTTCAAAAATACAGCAGACAGGTGTTTCAATACATAAAACAAAAGCAACAGCAGTATCTCTCTAAGATTATTATCTCAAAAAAATACCAGTGACTGCATAAAACTACCTCCTGAGAAAAAAGTGCCTGTGGTTAACTGAGTCAACAAAGAGCAAACAAACTCCTTCCAAATGAAGCGGGGCAGCACTGCTGCTGGCACAAGCCCAGTAGGATAAGGGTATGCACACGCTGGTGGCGCGAGCTGGTCTGTGGTACCTGCTGCTCACATAGCTGCATGCACACCATTCTGGTACGTAAAACAATCTGCATAGGCTGCATTCACACAGCTGCAGAGAGGAAGAAACACTAGTAATTGCTTAGTCAGAGATTATACGTAACATAAATGGACAGAAATAATTTGAAAGATACAGCAGTATCTTTACAGAGACCTAGGATTTATCCCCTTTCACAGGAGGAATTGCAAATATTGAATAATCAGCAATTATCTTACCATGCCTTCCTTATCTGGTCACTCTAAACAGGTCTTTGACTATTCTTGAGAGATGAGAGAAAATGTATAGAACTTACGCAGAAATTACAAGTTAGGGCCCCATCTCCTGTTCTAGCTTCGCTTCTGCACAAAATAGAACATCTTCCCAAAACATGCATGGCAGTGAAAGAAAATCACATAGCACATAGGCTCCCCACTTCCTAGGAGCTTCCCAAGCAGCAAGTAATGGACACGAGACCATCTGTTCCAAACAAATTTAGCTTTGCATCATTGATTAATTAATGTACTTTTAATTATACCTTATTTCAGTATGCTGACACATGCTGGAAATGCATTCTGATCAGACCACTGAAAACTTTAATTACATTTTTTTCTATAGCCTTTTTTTAAAAAAATCTACTTTTTGTTAACAAAGTAATAACCTCTCTTTAACCCTTTAACTCCATCCAAGGTTCAAGAGAAAAAAAAAAAAAGAATTCCTTTTCTCTTCCCTGACCTCAACTCAGCTAGAGTACATACACTGAAGTACATACATTAAGACCGCAGTTTCTCTCAACTGAAGTAGCAGCAGCAGGATGCCAGAAGCATTACACTGCCTAGGCACTGCAAGTGTAAACTGAGCATTGCAAAGCAGCCAGGAAACCAGCCTGAAGCACAGAACATAGTGCCAGTTTTGGACAGTTGCAGCTTTTACTGTTCTCTGTTTGCCTGCACCTGCAGTACTGACCGTGCTTCAGAGCCTGTCCTGGCAACACCCTGGGATACATTACGGGCAGTATGTAACTGGGCTATGACATGGCCTCACTTGCTGATACCTTCTATAAAATTCACACGCTTTAAGCTTGTTTCTATCCTGAAAATTGACTAAGAAGGTGCAATTGAGAGTTAACGCATTGCTCTGCACCAAGAATGACTGGACTAAAGGTACAGCATTCTCTCCACCAGATCCCCAGATTGTACTTGGACCCTCCTATCCTGTTGTATACTTCTATCCCGTTATTCGTAATAATGGGTTCTGCAAAACACCAACACAGCAAACACAAATGGCACCTCAAAACCCCGCTGACTCTGTGCCCGTAAAAACACATGTGCATCTGAGCAGCTCCCACTGGATTTACAAGGACTGTGTAACTGACTTAAACTCAGCAAAGCAGCTCTGCTGGGCACATGTAAGGAGGAAGAGAATTTGGATTACTCCTCCACGGCCTGAATTCTGCTGGGAGAACAGTGATAAGTTATTTTCTTACTTTTTTAAGGGAACAGAGTGGATTAATGCATACAGCCAGTATTTCAGCAGAAAAAGATGCTTACATTCTCAGAACAGACAAGCAGACATTCAACCAGACACTATTTCACCTTTTTCTTTAAAGTAAGAACCCTTACACTACTGTGGCTGCTGCGAACTTTAAATACAACAGATGAAGTTTCTTACAAGACTCAGATAGATACAGCAGACCGTAATACAAGTCCTCCCATAAAATGAAACCAGCAATAAATGACTCAAATAAGCTACAAGTATGTCAAAATGGGAAAACATGCATCAGAGTAACAACAATTATACATCTTACTGGAGTTCAACAACTAACCAGCCACCTAGAGTGGCTCCACCATGGAAGAACTAATAGTACTAATTTTCTGACCTCTGAATGTCTAAGTAGACATATTGGACAATATCATTTGTATGAAATAAAAGACAGAACAAAAGAAGGGATATTTACACATTCAGTTAAAAATCATAAGGATAAGGAAATAAACTGCATTTCTAAGTCCCTCACAGCTGCAATTTCTAGTAATCAGTAGCCTAAACAACAGGAAAAAACTTTAATCTGAAGAAGTGAATAAGATAGCATGATTTTTCCTTCAAAAAAGTATGAAGAGAAAGTAAAATTAATATTCATCAGGAAAAGTATAGTAGCAGGAAACTGAGGCAGGTGATCTCAAGAATTTTCCCATCCTGTCTTTCCTTTTAAATGGTTTGTGATGCATTCTAGAGTTATCATCCCAGCCATCCATATAGAGATGTTTCTATATATCTAACAATGTGCAAATAGAGAGCTCTGTTTAAGTCAAATGCCATGACAGGGAATAAAGACAGACTTTCAGTTACACCATGTATGCAAACTCTCTATTTAGTGTGGTGAATTATCCATACGATTTACAGGAGGAAAAGACCATTTTATGGTTTCTTAGTGTGCAGTTAGAAAAAGAAGTATAAACCTTTCCCAAATACAAAGTTCACAAAGTTTAATGAGGAGCAGTTTGCTCAGCAGAAGACAACAGTTATTTTCTGTATCATGAATGAACTTGATAACATTGTACATGCAAAAAGGGATCAGTGGCTTTTCCCAGCACTGTATGGCCCTGAGAGATTTCAGAAGCACAACTTATGCTTCAGGAGCTGTTGACAGTTGGACATTCCCAGAAAGAAAGGAATTCTATAACATTTTACACATGAAATGTGCTACTAGTAGCACTAGTACTGGTCAACCTCGTAACACCCAAAAGCTTGAACACCATTTCTATAACCATAAACACTACTTTTGTCATGAAATAGGATTTTGATGCAGAAGACATTGAGTCAGAATTCTTGCAGCTCACCTCACAGTTCCAGAGGCGACGTGCCCATGCAGGTGCATTTGTTGGCAAGGGCTGGAGAGGGATGGGAAAAGAGTCTTCTAATATCCTGGAGAACAAAAAATAAAAATGCAATAACAGTACATAGACACTCAAAGTGATTTTTTAGTCTAAACTACTGCTATCACATAAATCAGTGCATTACATAACTTCTTACAGCATATGACCAAACTATAGATATTACATCAACTTGTCTTGAAAACCTCGGATTCATTTTCTCCATATTCTTTTTGACTATTAAAATAATTAATCTTTTTTTTTTTTATATAATTAAATAACCGTCTTATTCGTTCAACAAGACTCTGAGCATTCAGTATTCTCATAATACTGAATGATAATAACAGCCAAAATATTGTAAAATACTCTGGACTAAGTATCTTGAAAACTTTCTTATGTAGACTGATGGTAGAATTAGAATGATTAAACAGATATTCAATGCATGTTAAATACTGCATGTTAGTATACCTTAAATCTCAAAAAAAAAAACAAAAACCCAAAACAACAACAACAAAAAAAACAAAACACAGCTGCAATAACTATTTGAAGTCAGTATCTACTTCCTTTACTCCCTAAATTCTGGAATGGAAACAATGCATACTTGCAGCAGCTTAAGACATCAATCATTCCAAAACCCAAATGCATTACCCTCCTGTCTGTACAAAAGTGTCTCCTTTCCAGGATCATTCTTGTAACACAAACTATGTTTGTGACATCCATGCACAGAGTATTTCACTTCATTTTAAATATTGCTTGAATATGTATAATTTGTGTTATAGTGCCAGGATTATTCTAATCTCTTCTACTTCTCCTTTTCAAAGGAGTATAAACCAATACAAAGCAGACCCGCAGTTCACAAAACAAGGAATTTTTCTTTTTTTTTTTTGG